GGTGGAAGGTGATACTGACCTTTAAGAATAACAGCCCTTTGGAATGAAGACAGCTGACCTGGCATGAAGCAGGAACATCCCTGATGTGTTTGGATGTGCTGAGGAAGTAAGTGCCTTTGACATTGTGACACACCATCGATGCCTGAGGGTGAGAAGAGACCCTGGGGACAGGCAGTGGCAGGAACAAAAGGGGATATTTTGAATATAATTTATCTGTCTCAGCAGGTGTCCCAAAAAGATTACACTCCATCCAGCACCCTGGATCTGGACAAACAATGTAGAGAATTCAATGGCCCTTTGTTATTCTTGCCTCTTTCAGCAACAATCTTTCTTAATAACAGCTTTATACATCTCACTACCACCTGCCCTCTTCATGAGCTGTCAGCTCAAGTATCTGTGTATCACCAAATAGACTTATACTTCCCAGTAGGAAATGGAATGGCTTGTCTTTAAGAACCAAGTTGAGGGAGTGTGTGTGTGTGTGTGTGTGTGTGTGTGTGTGTGTGTGTGTCTGCAGCTCCTCAGAGAGAGACCAGAATTGCTAGTATCGGTCTTTCTGGCCTAGTTTTCCAAGGTCTAGACAGCTTGGCTGACTGCAGCTCTGATTTTGTAAGACAGAATTGATTTGCAAAGGGCCAGGAGAGGGCACACCTGGGAAGTGGCCTTGAACTCAGAACAAGAAAGGGGGCAGAAACTGAGGTCTACAGCAAAATAGAAGGTTGAGGGCAACCAGAATTTAGAGCTCCTGATGGGGCCACTGAGTTAGTTAATCAGGGCCAAGAGGGAACCAAGTATCAGCCAAGAGTCCTCCACATAAAGGTGGTTCTGTGTGAGTGTGAAAAATAAAAGGTCTGCCCAGGGGGTCTAGTTGGCTCCTTAAATCTGAAATTACAGTGTGACTTGAAACTAGACTGTTGTTAAAATTCCTTTGATGCAACTATTTCAAACTCCAATCCACTATTTCACTGTATGTTAAACTGATAAGGAGGTTCTATGATTGCTTAGACCAGTGTTCTCAACCCTGGCTTTTCATTAGAGCCTTTAGAAAATCCGATGCCTGGTCCTCACTCCAGACCAGATGAATCAGCATCTCTGAGTGAGTGATCCAGGAGGAGGTGGTTTTGAAAAGTTTTCTAGGTAATTCTAAAGGGTGGCCGGGGTTGGGAACCACTGGCTTAGGCTGAGATGGGCAAGAGATACACACAGGAAACAGAGGAAGAGTTGTAGTTGAGAGGTCGTGATTCTGCAGCATAACCTCAGACAAGGGAAGTTTCTTTTGTGTTCATGCTTGGATGGTGCTGGAATGTAAAAGTACCTGGTGATATGTTAGTATGTTGCAGAGTTGGCAATAGTGAGTTTAACCTGTGATTACAAGCCAGAAACCAAACTTTGTACACCTCAAAACACAACCTGGACCAGACAAGCTGATGGATGAATAATATATTTACTTGTGTGTTTCAGTCAATTATATATTTGCTTGTATGTTTCAGTCAATTATCAAGTATTCCCAGTATAGAAATGCACTCAGGGTAGCTCAAGATCATAAAGGTTTGTGGTCAATACACAAATAGCAATTTCAAGGCATCCAGGGATCTGAACTTCCAGAACCAGGAACCAGACACTCAGATACTGAGGTCATTCCCTCCACCTCTCAGTCATTTGGTCTCCTTCATCTCAGGTCCTCTCTCCATACCTGCTTCTTTCTTTCATCACCATGGGCTTCTTCTGATTACTTATTTCACACCAGGCTCAAGATGAGTGCTCCAGCCCTAATTTATCATAATCTTGCAGGACCAGAACTCAACACTGACTGACCATTGTCACAATGTCTCTTAATTCAAATTTTCAAGAAGGGGAATTTGATCACCAGCAAAGGATGACTGATCTTGTCTAGCCTTGGCTTAGGGGTTAATCTCCTCCCAAGTTCTAGGCTTGAGGTAGAAAATGTCATATGATTCACAGGCTGAACCACAGTAGAACAGGAGACCACTGGAAGGGTAGGAACTGTGGGCAGAGCAGGCAATGCAGTTCACCTAATATTCATCCATAATCAATGAACCACACACCTTTCTTCTTTCCCATTGTCTGCCTCCTGAGATGGGTGGGCATGGGCGGGGGGGTTAAGCATCCAGTCTAGCATTTGAGAGAGGTCATGATGTAAAGACAGTCTAAAAACCCTTGGCCAACATGATTCTGCATGGGTTGTCCTCCACCTGAAACCACTGAAAAGTCCATTCTTGCCAATGGTGAAAGCATAAGGATGTCCAAAACACAGGATCTCAGTTTGTTTAGTTTAACCCCACACTTTCTGCTGCATTGTGGCATATAGAAATGTAACACATTTAGACATTAGGGAGGATTCTCCTCCCCGTGGGCCGTTATTTGATAGTTTGGAAAATTTGAGATTAACATGTTATTATAGTGGTTTGACAGTTCACTTGAGAGCTCTGAAAATAATATTCTTAGCTTTTAAATGATAACCTTTTTCTGAAATTCAAGTGACTCTTTTAACTTAGAACTTCAGCCAATTTGGAGGCTCATAAAAATAGTGGTGTGAGAATTTTATAAACTGTCCAAATGGAGATATTGTGTGTAAACTTAATTTATGGTCCAACACTGACTATTGCAGCAAAGAATTGAATAGTTCTACAGTTTTCTTCATTTCTTCCAGTAAGTCCAGCTGTATTGAGGCAGGGTGGAGGAGGGCAGGAATAGTCTGGACTTGGGGGCCATACTTATAGAGAACAGGCCAGGGTAAAAATCCACCCCCCATGTGAGTCTGTAGACAGTCTGAGTATATGGTTTTGTGTGGTTCTTTTTTCTTCATTTTTGGACCTCTGGAGCTAGAGGCAAATGAAGCCGGGGGTAAGGGGTGGGGAGGAGATTCAGGGAGAAGTGGGGGAAAGACCAATAACAAATATCACCTATTTTCACTTTGCCTAGAGCATGTCACCCTGAAAATCATGGCTGTGGCCTCAATATAAGGCCATCATGCCAATGTGCAATCATTTATTTTAGAGCCTTAGATGGAGCTAACTATTTTAGCTTTTGCCCAAGTACAGCTATCAGAGATTCTGGATGATTCAAAAAGAAGTCTAATATTTGTATTTTACTAACAAAATACCTTTAAACTAAAAAAAGATAATTTATCTGGGCTGAAACTAAAACTCCTGCCTACTGAAGTCTGGTGCAGCTGAGTTATCACTGTTTTTGTCCTGCAATTTGTTTTATAGAGTGCTGATTAATAGGGCAAAGCCTTTTGCCAGGAAAGTAAATCACATTTTTCTGTTTTCTTATATTCTAACAAGACATAAACCTGGTCTCTAATTAAAGAGTACTATCAGCTTCCGAAATTGGGAAACATTGGGCTGAGAAGATCATGGTGAAACCTACTGTGTAGAGCTCAAGAGATAGTGGTGGAGAGAGAAAGGAATGGAGGGAGAAAGAGAGGAATTGACCAGGTAACCTTTAAAAGAAGAGATTGTTTTCCTCAAATGTCCCATCTTCTCTCAGTTCCCCACAACTCTGCATATGTCCTCTGACTCTACTCGACACACTGTTCTGCAGATATCCTTTTTATTATTTTTTAAATGTATTTTATTGATTTTTTACAGAGAGGAAGGGAGAGGGATAGAGAGCTAGAAACATCGATGAGAGAGAAACATCGATCAGCTGCCTCTTGCACACCTCCTACTGGGTATGTGCCTGCAACCAAGGTACATGCCCTTGACCGGAATTGAACCTGGGACCCTTGAGTTCGCAGACCAACGCTCTATCCACTGAGCCAAACCGGTCAGGGCTGCAGATATCCTTTTTAAAAAGAAAGCTGACCCCTTGACACACACACCACCCAATTCATTCCTTTCCCCAAAGAAGTATTTTTTTCAAGGTAGCAACTCTGCCTTCAGACCTTCCTGCCCCAATGTCCCCCTTCTCCAGGGCTTCTTATTCGCCTGGCCCCCTTGGTGACCTTTGCTGCCTGGCCAATGCAACTCCTGTGTCACCCCTTCCCTCCCACCTCACCCTCTCTCCCAGCCTCAAAGTCTTCTTCACTCCTTTCTATTTCTCCTTCTTTCCTGCCCCCAATCTCATTCCTGGAGGCTCTGGACTAGAGGCAGCCAGCCGCTCCTGCATCTCCTCCCTCCTTGAAACCTCTGAGTCGTCCTCGTTTGGGGAGACCAGGAACGGGTGGTGATGGGCGGCGAAGAAAGCGAATGCGGAGCTAGGAGCCTGACGTCACCGCACCTTGCCTGTCAATCTCCAACGGGGCGCGCTGCTCGTAACCGCCTGTTCTGCCACTGACTGTCCCTCACTCTCCCTGGCTTCCGCGCAACCACTGGAGCCCAGCGCTCCTCTCTGGCCGCTTCGCAGGCATCGACTCTGTCCGCTCTGGGGACGCAGCCTGGCGCCCCACCACAGCGCTCATGATCATAGACTTTCTGAAGCCCTGACTCCCCAGGTGAGCAGCCCGGGTTCCCTAGAGGAACTTGGAGGGTGTGGGGAGGGGAAGGAGTGAAGGATAGCCGGGGAATGAGTCCCTCCTAATACGGAGAAATGAAGCCAAACTTGACCGTACACCCTTCCCCTACATAGACACCCCAACTTCTCTTCCCCCAAGCCTCCTTTCCCGGGGTCTCTGTAGCTTCCAGGACCGCGGGGCTCTGCATGCAGAAACTTAGCTTTCAGCACCGCGGACAGCGACCCTGCTTCCCAGCTTAAGCGAACACCCGGAACCCGCTGACCCAGAGCCCAAGCGGGACTCGCCCAGGTCCCACACCCTTAGCTCGGTGCATTCGGATACGTGTGCAGATGCAGTCACCCTTACGGGATTAATCTGTGTGCATGTGAGTGCCTGTTATCCGTGTGTGTATCTATGCAAGAACTCGGATATCTGTGAGAGCACCCGTGTACGTTCCTCTCGCCCATTCAATAGGTATTTGTTTGTGGCTCTCAATCTCTGCTTCCTCGCTCTGCTGTGGGGTCCGGGGTGGGGTGGGCAATATGAGCGGGGCACCTGCGCCCGGGGAAGTTCCCTGGGAGCTTGAACCGCACACCTGATGCTCACTGTCCCTCTCCACACAGGGTGCAGCGTCCAGCCGCAATGAACGCGAGCGCCTCTTCGCTCAACGAGTCCCAGGTAGTGGCAGTGGCGGTCGAGGGAGCGGCGGCGGCTGTGGCAACGGCGGCAGGAGCGCGGGACAGCGGGGACTGGGGGCAGCCCGCAGCGGCAGCGGCACTGGGAGGCGGAGGCGTGGCTAACGGGTCGCTGGAGCTGTCTTCGCAGATGTCCGCGGGATCGCCTGGGCTGCCGCTGTCGGCGGTGAACCCATGGGATGTGTTGCTGTGCGTGTCGGGGACGGTGATTGCCGGAGAAAATGCGCTGGTCGTGGCGCTCATCGCGTCCTCCCCGGCGCTGCGCACGCCCATGTTTGTGCTGGTGGGCAGCTTGGCCACCGCCGACCTGCTGGCCGGCTGCGGACTCATCCTGCACTTCGTGTTCCAGTACGTGGTGCCCTCGGAGACGGTGAGCCTGCTCACAGTGGGCTTCCTCGTGTCCTCCTTTGCTGCCTCGGTCAGTAGCCTGCTGGCCATAACCGTGGACCGCTACCTGTCCCTCTACAACGCGCTCACCTACTACTCGCGGCGGACCCTGTTGGGCGTGCACCTTCTGCTCGCCGTCACCTGGACCGTCTCCCTAGGCCTCGGGTTGTTGCCAGTGCTCGGCTGGAACTGCCTAGCAGAGCGTGCCACCTGTAGCGTGGTGAGCCCTCTGACGCGCAGCCACGTGGCGCTGCTCTCCGCGACCTTCTTTGCCGTCTTCGGGATCATGTTGCACCTGTACGTGCGCATCTGCCAGGTGGTCTGGCGCCACGCACACCAGATCGCCCTGCAGCAGCACTGCCTGGCGCCACCGCACCTGGCCGCCACCAGAAAGGGCGTGGGTACGCTGGCCGTGGTGCTGGGTACTTTCGGCCTCAGCTGGCTGCCCTTCGCCATATACTGCGTGGTGGGCAGCCGCGAGGACCCGGCTGTCTACACCTACGCCACTCTGCTGCCCGCCACCTACAACTCCATGATCAATCCTATCATCTATGCCTTCCGCAACCAGGAGATCCAGCGTGCCTTGTGGCTTCTGTTCTGTGGCTGTTTCCAGTCCAAAGTGCCCTTCCGCTCCAGGTCTCCCAGTGAGGTCTGAAGGCCCCCTCTGCCCTCTCACCAACACCACACCCCCAACAAGCCAGCCTCTGGTGAGCTTCTCGGTGCCTGCTGATGAACTCTGAGATCCCAATAGTGTGACCCTGACTTTGGAAAGAAAGAGAGAGAGAATGAACATACACACAATAAACTCACGAGGATAAAGAAGTTTGGTGGCACTTTACATATACAGTGTATACATGTGTACATATATATACAAGTTATTTGTATCTTCTGGAGGTGTTCAGGATGTGGACTTTTCTGGCCTGTGAAAAAACTAACAAGGATGTGGTTGTATACTCAAATTGTACATCACATTTGTCAAGTGAACACATTCCAATACTGCTTAATTATAGCACTTCATTTTAGCTGCTGAGCTGCCAAAACAGTGTTGCCATTTACAAGGGCAGGGGAAGGAGGGTAAAAGGTGTATTTTTGTTGTATGTGATAATATTTTGCTGCCTATGCATCAGTAAATTACACCATATTTTGTACACAAATAAATACATTATAAAAATGTAATTTTGGGCATGTGACTGACTATAGAACTACATCTGCCAGGTGATCTACTGTCTGAGTGTTGAAGTAGTAATACATTTACTTTAAAAGTTTATTACGTACCATCTCTCTCCTGTGAAAATCTCAATGTAAAAAATCATATGTATTTGCACACCGTTCATAAATTGTCACTGAAATACCTAATTCAGATAGTGGTGGGACGAAGGGGGTAATATATTCATGTAACAGTATTCACAGGACACTAAAAGATTATTGGTGTTATCAGTGCCGATTAATCTACTCTCTTAGTTACTGCGTTTGGAAGACAAGCTGCAGCAGTTGTCTGAAATCATTCCTTCTTCCTACCCATGTGCACTTGTGAATCCTGAAGCCACAACTTTTAGTTGTAGTTTTTCCAGTCTGGAAAGAATTTTAAATGTAGAAAATTTATATTGACTAAGTATATTGTTGTTGGCCAGGTCTTGTAGCAAAATGCACAGCCTTAAAAAATAAATTCTTCCAAGACAGGATTCTAAGGTATATTGTGTTCATGAGGCAAATGAAGGTATGCCCAGGAGACCCTCTTGAGGCACTCTTATTTTCAGAACACAGGGCATTAAGATCCTCAAAGACTAAACATCTCATTCCACCATGGGTGTGAGTTATAGTTGAATGGTTCCTCTCCTTCCCTTCTTATAGGATGGAGATAAGATATGTGTGCTATGAGCACCCATGAAGAAATATGCACACAAGCACAATTGACTACTAGTCTTAGGCCTTAGAAAAATACACACAACACATTTCTTCATACAGTCACAAATATTTATTGAGTTCCTACTATCTACTAGACACAATTCCAGGACCAGGAATACTCTGTGCTCATAGAGTTGCATTTCAGTGGGGGGAGATGGCCTACAAGCAAGTAAATAAATATTAAAATATTTATTATAATGAATTGACTCATGCATTTATGAAGGCTGAGAAGTTCCAAAATCTGTAGTCGCAAATTGGAGATCCAGGAGAGCTGATGGTGTAGTTTTAGTCTGAGTTCAAAGGTCTAAGAACCAGGGGTTCAAGACCCAAGAAGAGCTGATGTTTCCATTTGAGACCAAAGGCAGGAAAAAACACACAATATTTCAGTTCAAGCCATTGAGACAACAGGAGTTCTGTCTTACTCAGCCCTTTTGTTTTCTTTTATGCTCTTTACTAGATCAGATGAGTCCCACCTACGTTAGATAAGGTAATCTGCTTTACTCAGTCTACTGAGTCAAATGTTAATCCCATCTAGAAGCTCCCTCACAGATGCAGCAGAACAAGATTTGACCAAAAGTCTGCGTACTGTGTGGTCCAATGAAGTTGACACATAAAATGAACTAGCCGGTGTGGCTCAGTTGGTTGGGTTTTGCCTTGTGCACTGAAAGGTTCCCAAGTTGGATTCCTGGTCAGGGCACATGCCTGGGTTGTGTACTCGATCCCCAGTCGGGGGCATGCAGGAGGCAGCCAATCACTGTTTCCCTCTTGCCTCTCCCTCTCCCCTCCTCTCTCCCTAAAAATCAATTTGAAAAATCTTTTTAAAACATTAACCATCACATCAAGAAAGCACAATGAGCCCTGGTTGGGTGGCTCAGTTGCCTGGAGCATCATCCCATTCACCAAAATGGTTGCAGGTTTGATTCCCTGTCAGGGCACATACCTAGGTTGCAGGTTAGACCCCCAGATGTGCAAGGAACCAGTCAATTGATGTTTCTCACATATGGATGTTCCTTTCCTTTCCTTCCTTCCTTCCTTCCTTCCTTCCTTCCTTCCTTCCTTCCTTCCTTCCTTCCTTCCTTCCTTTCTCTCTCTCTCTCTCTCTCTCTCTCTCTCTCTCTCTCTCTCTCTCTCTCTCCTTTCCTCTCTCTAAAAATCGATAAACATATCCTTAGGTGAGGATTTTTTTTTTAAAAAAGTGCACAGTGATCCAAAATAAACAAGAAGTGTTTAAGGAGGGATTAGACAACTGGGTCAAATGCTGCTGAGAGAATAAGTAAAATGAGAATGAAAAACAATGACTACAGATTTTTTATTTTATTTTTCCCATCACCATTTATCCCCTCTACGCCCTCTTCTAATTCCACCCATTCCCCTCCCCTCCCACAATCACCACACTGTTGTCCATGTTCATGAATTCTCTCTTTTTTTCCTTTTTTGCTCAATCCTTCCTCCCACCAACCCCCGCCCAATCCTGCTCCACCCCACCTTCCCCACTCCTTAGCTATTGCCTACTCTCTAACTATGAGTCTGTTCTGATTTTGCTTGGTAGTTCAGTTTATGAGTGAAATAATATAGTACTTGTCTTTCTTGGACTGGCTTGTTTCACTTGGCATAATGTTCTTCTGTCCATCCATGCTGTCACAAGGGTAAAATTTTCTTCCTTTTTATAGCAGAGTAGTATTCCATTGTGTAAATGTACCTCAGCTTTTTTATCCATTCAGCTACTGATGGACACTTGGGCTGCTTTCAGATCTTGGCTGTTGTAAATAATGCTGCAATCAACATAGGGGTACATATATCCTTTCTAATTAGTATTTCTTGTTTCTTCAGATACATTCCCAGAAGTGGAATTGCTGGATCATAAGGCAGTTCCATTTTTAATTTTTTGAGGTAATTCCATACTGCTTTCCACAATGGCTGCACAAATCTGCATTCCCACCAATGAGGGTTCCTTTTTCTCCACATCATAACAAACACTTTTTGTTTGTTGATTTATTAATAATAGCCATTCTGAGAGGTGTGAGGTGGTATCTCATTGTGGTTTTAATTTGCATTTCTCTGATTAGTGAAGTTGAGCATCTTTTCATATGTCTATTGGCCATCTGTATGTCCTCTTTGGAGAAGTGTCTATTCAGGTCTTTTGCCCATTTTTTAACTGGGTTGTTTGGGGGGGGGTTGGTGTTGTCTTATAAGTGCTTTATAAATTTTGGATATAAACCTCGTATCACTGTATCATTGGCAAATATGTTCTCCCATTCAGTAGGTTGTCTTTTCACTTTGTTGATGGTTTCCTTTGCTATACAAAAACTCTTTAGCTTAATGTAATCCCATTTGTTTGTTTTTCTTTTGTTTCCCTTGCCTGTGGAGATATATCAGAAAATATTGTTATAAGAAATGTTCAAGATTTTACTGCCTATGTTTTTGTCTAGGATTTTTATGGTTTTGAGTCGAACACTTAAGTCCTTAATCCACTTTGAGTTTATTCTTGTGTATAATGTAAGAAGGTGGTCTAGTTTCATTTTTTTTGCATGTACCTGTCCAATTTTCCCAACACCATTTAGACTATCTTTAGTCCATTGTATGCTTTTCTCCTTTGTCAAATATTAATTGACTATAAAGGCGTGGATTTATTTCTAGGCTCTCTCTGTTCCATTGATCGATATGTCTGTTTTTATGCCAGTACCATGCTGTTTTGATTACTATGACCTTAGGCTACAGATTGTTAAATATACATGCCATTGGTGAACTTGACAAGAGAAACTTCAAGAAAGTGAGAGAAAGAAAAGCTTGACTATAGAAGATACAAGAGAAAATGAATTAGCAATGTAGTCTCCAACATGTTTCAACAGAACTGTGACCTTTTAATATTATAAACACACTAAGTTTTATAAATATATATTTTTATAGTGTCTGTAAATTTAGAGCCAGGAAGATCAGCATTATTGCTCATTCATCAAATTAACATTTTCTAAATAAGTAACCTTCATAGACTATTCAGCATCATCAGACACTGTCTCAGGCTCTATTAGTATCCAGAATACATTCAAGCAGACTGATAATAAAAGCTCCAGCTAGAGATTTTTTCCAAACATGTGGCAGGTGGGAAACAACACAATTTCAGAAATGGAACAAAAAATACAATATTGCTATACATTTCATAATTATAAAGAAAAATTTCTTGTAATCAATAAATTAAGAAAGTTCAACACTAGGTTTATAAGACAGGGACCATGGATCTGACTTCAATCCACTTGGTATTAATATTCAATGTCAGCCCTAGTCGTATTCAAAATGTTTGAGAGAACCAAGAACAAGAAGATACTAAACAATCAGGTTGTTAATATCTCTGACTTACACAATTGGCCAGGCTGTATAATGTCAGTAGGCTTGATATAACCAACCTGATGATATAAGGATATAAAACTGTGCATAGATCTTGACACATGTGTATGGAGGAATGTCACATATTCATTTCACCCATCAAATATTAAGAATCTCTTATTTCAAGACCCTATTCCAGTTGCTGGAAGCATACAATCTTTGAGAAAGGCAAACGTCCAACTGCCTATCCACTTTGCTATCTAATGGGCACCCCAAATGTAACATATTTAAAGTTGGGCCACTTACTTTTACCCCAAAACTTGGCTTTTCTCCCTTCATTAACATCTAAGTTAATGGCAATGTCATTTTTCTGTGGTTCAGGCCAGAAACCTTACAATCATACTAACCATTCTCTTTCTCACATACCTCCCATCAAAATTGTCAGCAAAATCCACTGCCTTTACTTTCAAAATAGACTCAGAGTCCAGCCACTTCTCACCATCTCCATCACTATCATCACCTCTTGCCTGAATTACTGTAGTGGTCTTCCCTCTGGTCTCCTGGCTTTAGTTCTTGTGCCTGTCAGTCTATTGTCTATGCAGCTCACCCCCACCAACAGTTGCTCCCTTCACTACCCTTCAGATCTAGGCACAAACAGTGCAGTCTGTCTCAAAAGGACAGACTTGGGCCCTAGAGCTCTTATATTATTCTATGATTGTGCTGAGGCTAAAAGCAAATTTTGCTACAGATAAATCATAATGGAAGTAATTCATCCACAGATAATGGAACAATCAATGGCATTCAATACATTTTTAGTACCTGTGCGTCTTAACACATATTTTATAGTTAAAGCACAGTAGGAAATTTAGACATAGTAAAGGTAAAAAGATTTTTGGAAGAAAAAAAAAGACAGACTTGGGGGGGAGGTATTTAAGCTCTGGAAATAGGCC